GTCACCGCGCCCCCCCCCCCCCCCCCCCCCGGATATTTCTGTGCCTTCCTCCCCTTCAGACAATAAATGCCCTTTTTAAAACCAAATTCTAAAGGTTTCTTTTTTTATAAAATGGATCTTTCAAATGCTTTTTCTTTCTTGTTCTTTTGTGGAAGTGGCAGAATGGACCCAGATAAATTGAGAACTTGGTGCCAGAGTGGTGGCATTGCAGTAATGTACATTACTGTGCAGAGCTTTGCATTTAATACTCGTCTCAGAGTTCATTTCCTTATTTGTCCAGTGACAACTACCGGCTGTGTGTTAGGTACCTTAGTACTGCAATCAGCTACCTTAGTCTCAAGCTTGAAAATTCTTCTCTCATCTTTTTAAAGACCGGATTATTCTATATTTGTTGGGGAGCTTACTCCGGAAGTGGATGATTTCCAGCTCTATGACTATTTCCTAAAGAGGTACCCCTCATGTATTGACTGCAAAATAGCGACGGACCTGCTGGGATATTCCAGGTAATGCCTGTGAAAATTTGCAATGCTGTCAATGTTTGCTTCTGTAAGTAGCATATAGGAACTCGCATTGGAACCATTTCTACGTTTTCTTCAGATGCAGGAAGAGAGATTAGTCTCTAGGACTTTGTGGGTTTTTTTTTTTTTTTTTTTTTTTTTTTTTTTTTTTTTTTTTTTTTTTTTTTTAACAGCACAGATACATTTCTAAAACTTCCTGGTTAGTTTAATCAGTTATAATCTTCAATTTAGCCCTATGTGTATCTGCATGAAAGCAATTAGATGGTGGGAGGAGGGAGCCCTGTCACTGAAACTTGTGCTGCTGTGCTTACATACAGCAGTGTCTCTGCTTAGTCTTGCAGTACTAAAGACAGTACATGTGGGAGAAAAGTGTAAGGCCTGGCTAATCTCAGGGGGTTGGGAGACTGAACCTGTTAATATTAGTAAATAAAGCTTAGCAGAAGTTGTACTTGCCAGGCAGTGAGTCAAGCAGGGATGAGTGAGTTACTGTTCAATGCTGGCTATGATAGACTAATTCAAGAATCTCCAGAGAAAAGAATTTTAAAAAGAATGTTAGTATAGTGGTAGGAGTGGGTTAATAATTAACTGCTGTAGATGCAGAAACATGGAATCTGATTACTTACACAGACAGCAGTCATAATGCTGTCAAAGAACAAGTTTCTGGCCCAAGATTTTAATTTTGTGAAAGCATTTTCTGTGCACGTGCACATGCCGGAGAGGTTGCTTAGCTAATAGAAGCTATAGTAGCTGCTATCTTCTGGGTTGTTTTGTTTTTGTAGAAAACAAATTGAATTCATTAGCTTTGTAACTGTTATGTATACTAGAATTTGTTTTCTCCCTTTTGAAAATTGTAGAGGGTATGCCTTTGTCAGATTTGGTGAGCAAGGTGATCAGATGAGGGCACTGCAAGACTGCCAGAATGCACCAGGTCTGGGGGGAAAACGAATCCGGCTGAGCATAGGAATTTCTAAAAGGTAACAAATGAGTTGTGCATTGATAAAATAATTCTAAATAATCAGATTCTTGTAGCTCTGCCTTTGTAAAATCTGTGGCCCTTGTATAATGGCTGTACACAATGCAGTCTACAAAACCAAAAATACAGAAGCACTGTGTTTGGACTCCATGGATTCATCAACCTCTTTCAGGATTGCTGGGGGAATCTACCTCTTAAGTGTAGCCAGATTGTGTAACTTGGGCTTAGCTGCTGTTGTAACCAGCCTTAATTCTTATAATAGCAAAGCTGAATGCATGCATAAATATTTTCCAGGTTTGGGCCTAAAGAAGGTAGAAGGGACAAGTGGTTTTGTATGCTGGGGAGCTTTTATTCTAGACCTTTCTCTCTAGTTTAGGCAGTGTAGCACATAATTGGTTTTGCATTAGGCTGGCAGAGAAAGGAGCTTTTAAGTGGTAAAATAATATGGGGGAAGAAACTAAGGAGTCATTGCTGAAGCAGTTTTAGAATATTATGCTTTTCAAGTGATTGGGGCAGCAGGGAATTTAAAATGGCTTGATTTTTTGAGAGGGTTTTTTACTCTGCCAGCTCAGTTCTCTCAGTCATTTAAGGCAGTTCAAGTCTATGAACAGTCAGAGAATTGATACCAAATTTGATAAACTTTGATCCAGGATACAGACGAAAATAGAACTTTACATTAAACAATTTCAGTATATTCATGAGTTTGGCTTGTATGTGCAGTTAAGTAGTAAAAATAACAGCTTTTCTATTTACCCTGGATAATCTTGTAAATGTTGCCTCTGTGCTTTAGAATGGAAATGCTTTTATGCAAGAGAGCACTTTCCAGAATAGTGCTGACTAGATTATTTGGAAAACAAGAAGCGGTCACAAAGAAACAGGTTTCCATGCTTCTGCTATCCAGAAAAATGTTGGCAATACTTCCAGATTTTTCTTCCTTACAGAGATGCATGTAGGAGAGAAATTAGTAGCAGGAGACTGAGACATTATGTAGTCATTTGTTAACTACAGTAGCAAGACAATAGAATACCTGATTATGAGAACGTGTACCTTCATGGTCATGAAGCGAATGTAGGTATTAAAACACACATCAGTAATCTGTATCTGTTTCTGAATGGCTGAGTACTATGCTTTCTCAGCATCAAAATATCCAGCCATCAGAGTAGTTTGTCAGTAAGTCACTTACATTGGAAACTTCTGAGTTCCTTTGGTTTGCATTCTTGACAAAAAGCCTGGATTTCAGTTTTCTGTAATGAGGTGGAGATGCACAGAAATTGGACTTTGCAAACAGGAGGCCTGCCTGAACAAAACCAGTGAAGCAATGTCTGAAGCATAGAGGATTTTTTTGAATGTGCAGCTGGACTACCTGAATGTATTTCTTGTAGTGTACCTCTGTTCTAGTACATTGTGCGTTGATTCTTGCCATTAGTGTGAAGTTGTCCCTGGGAAAATCTATGCAGGTGAAAGAAAGTAGTGAGAACTAATCAGCTGGCCCTATGGTATTAACCAAACATAAGATAAAAGGGCTTTAAAGCAGCTGTGCTTGACAGATGTTTCTGGTTTTAATTTGATTTCTACCAGTAGCTTGCTTATGCAGATATTAAAAATGCTCAAAATGAATACCAATAAGCATCATGGCTTGAGTTAATCCATGAAAATAATTGCTTCTGGTATTGCAAAGGTGAGAGAATTTGCTTCTGTATAAACATAAAAATTGTGCTGTGGTTTAGGCGTGCTTTTGGGCAACTATTCAGAAAAGCTTCCTTTTAAACTTTGAAATCTGTAATATGGTGAATTGTTTAACTTCAGAACTGGGTTTACAGTTTATTCTCAAATTCTAACTCTATGTAACTTCTCATGTTGCAGACTGAAAGCAGAATTCCAGCGGTACCAGTCATACAACTACAATGATTATTACCAAGATTATCAGAACTACTACTCGCAGTGGAATTATGATCCTTATGCTGACTACAACTACAGCTCCTATACTCCCTATGATAGCATGCAAACTGTTGGAGACTGCTCTTTAGGAGATACTCTTATGGCTCCAGCTGTTTTTGAGGTAAAGATACTACACATCTGCTTTAAAGAAAAAAGTTCACAAATTGTAAGTTTGTGTGCATTGTGTAAGTGAGAGCAAAAGGTCCTAAAACTGAAATCCTGCTTTCTAATTAATGTGGATGTTAAAATAACAGGCTTCACTGAGAGGTATCTTTCAAGTGCTTAAGTACTGCATTTGTTGAATTGGAGATTAATATGCCATTATTCATGTATGCCAAATAACAGTTCTGACAGCATACTTGTGTAGGCTCCCTCTGTTCCTGTTTTTCTGATTGATGTACTTCGCTTAAAGCAAATTGAAGAATTATTTTAGGATGGTCTTATCTTAGATCAGCTAATTTCTTAATTAAAACTTCCAGAAGTCCTTTCCAACCTGAACTATACTGTTACTGTAAAAGTTGGTTGGAGAAACTCTCTTAAGGCTGTGGTTTGGGAGTACAAAGTTATTTTGGATTTGCAATGCTTTCCAAAATGGATTACGATTATAATTCAATTTAAGAATATCTTTTTTTTTTTTCTTTAGGAAACTTCAGCTATGACTGAAATCAGTGATGACCTAATAACTGAAGGTAATGGAATTTAGCCATACTTGTGCCCTTTAACAACACAAGCCAATGACTATTGCATGAAAAATGTTTCAGAAATGCAGCTGATACAGTGTGTAAAAGCTGAGATGAGGTTAGGATTTTAAAGCTGATAATGTACACCATGTCGAGTAGATTGGGACATTGTCAACAGCACAGTAGGTTTCTTTGTAACTCTTCCTTCTCCTTCTGAAATGGTCTGATATTGAATTTGTGATGACTTTGTATTGATTTTGCTAAGCATATTCTACACTAAACTCATGAATATGCAAAAGCTTTGTTTGCCAAACCCTGAGGTAAAAGTTTACTTTGCAGGTCCTAAAAGGGAGGATTCAACTTGTGCCTAAAGATCTGGTACAGAACTTAATTGTTTGGCCTGGAAGGTTTTCAGGCAATTCCTTGCATAGAAACAATCTTACAAGTGTTCAGAAACTATCCTCTGTAACACACATTGTAGTAGAAATTAATTAAATGGATTTTGGGATATTTCCTGAATTAATTACCCTTAAATCTGTTATCTTGGCATGCCAGTGTAGTCCTAGCATTCTAATACACAAATTCCAGAAGAAGCTGGACTTGTCAGGTTTGTTAAAATTCTGGGTGAAAAAACATCTTACTACCTTTACTATTAAATCTGTCACATTTAATTAGTCATTTACTTTTTTTGTGTATGTGTGCATGTCTCCCGCTTGTACTTAACAGACTTTTATTTTCAGATCCACAACTTTACTTGGATGTTGATGAAATGAACAGACAATTTATGGAGACGAGTGAAGAACTCTATGATTCCCTTATGAATTGTCACTGGCAACCTCTGGATACGGTCACTTCTGACATCCCCTCTGCTATTTAAGTGTCTTATATAGCATGACCGTAATGACCAAGGTGCTAAAATTACATTTCTTCTACATTACTCTAGATCATAAGTTTTAAAGCACAATGATAGGTTGGGTTTTTTTGCTATGCTTTTGACAGTTTCTGTAATTTTTTTGTGTTCATCACTTTACTCAAAGCATCTTGAAATCATGTAAATATTCTAGAAATGTAAAGAGTTCAATGGGGTCTAAAGATAGACTTGCCTGTGTAAATAAAATTTTGTTTCTGCAAACCAGCCAGCAAGGGATTTTACTTACATGTGTGAAGCACATTCTCTTCTGGCTTGTGGAATTTAGCTGGAGGCAGTTAGGGGTATTCTCCCTGCCATTGGTATGGGCTTCAGGACTAGCAAAAACTAGTTCTTGCATACTTCCAAGTTACCTAGGCAATCTCTTATAAGCTCTTAACACACTTAGTTAGATGGCATGTGTATATGGGAGATGCTCCCAGAGTTTGCCATGGGAATGCTTGGGCCACTCCTGCAGTCTGCTGGCACCCACTGTACTACTGTTGATCTGTTAGGTCAGTTAAAATTGCTTTATCAATACGTGATTTTAAACATACAGAAGGGCAAACTTTCAGCTTCCATAGCTGCAAACATTCCAAAGACTAAAGATAATCCCTCCTGACAATTTTATTCCTGCCCTTCTTAATCTTCTCGACTGACACTTCACAGCAAAGAAACTGGTGTAACATAATACATGTTCTTAAACCTAAAAATCGTCTGAGAAAATAATTTTCTTTTTTAAAGGAAGAAAAATAATCTACTGAGAATAAAACTATCCTAATAAAACTTGTCAGCTAAGATGCTGAACATCTCTAATATTTTTTTTTTTTTTTTTTTTTTTTTTTTTTTAGTTGTCATGCTCAGGTGTTTGATAGCAATGAGGTTATAACATTTTAGTAGTGTGAGAGGTTTCAGTATTTGAGTCAAAGGAGACTAGGGGAGGTAGCAATGAGGAAAGGTCTGCTTTAAGCTAGCACCTTCTGAGTGGCTTCTTCTAAGCTCTTCTCATCTGGAAGGGTATAAAGTATTTTCCAGTCATAGGGACTTCTTAAGCCCATGTGTTTGCGTAAGTATTTACTACTTAACGTACATGATAAAATAAGTTGGGCTGGAAATGGAAGAATACTCTTCCAAGAAAAAAGGTATCAGAAATTATCAGAGCTAATAGCTGTGGAAGCTACTAGAGCTAGTCAAGACATTTGCCTTGTGTGTTTTTGGGGTGACCTAAACCATAATTGCTGTGATGGCAGATGAAGTTTTCTGGCTTTTTTTAATGACTTAATTACATTAAAATGGTGTTCATAACCTATGTGCTGTTCTTAAATTTGAAATACTGTGTTTCAGAATGATGTGACTTGGTGTTGGCAGAGCATTTCTAGCTGCTGACTAGATTCTCTTTACAGCTTAGTTTTCACCTGGGAATATTTTCAAAGTTCCTCCCATGAAATGCAGATGTTCTAAAACAGAAGAGGCTTTTGGACTACTATAGGAAGTTCATTCTTCCTGGATTTTGTGCAGACATACATGTAGGAAGAGACAAAGCAAAAAAACTTGAGGGGCAGTAGCATCACAGTTTTAGGAACTGCTTCCCTGCTTTGGGGAGAGCTAGTTGCAAGGTAACTGCAGCTACGTGGAATTTAGATTTCTTGGATGAATGTTTCCCTTGTGTGAAGTGGTGAGGGTTTGGAGGGTGAGGGTAGGGGGACAGTTAATGAGAATGTGACAGGAAGTGGAGTAAATAAAGCAAAGACAATCTGGGTAGGAAAGGGGGTGCTTGTGTGCCTGTATAGAATTGTTTTGGGGGACTGCTGTAGGAGGAAACTCAAGATAGTAGGTGTAGGCCTCTTGAATTTGGATGTGGGAGTGTTAAAGATTAAAAACCATACAGGATTTGATGCTACTTCAACTGTGTTGCGTAGCTGTGTTGCTTGAGCTGGGTAGTACAAACAGGTGTTAAGCAAGGGACTTTGTACCTATCAAGCACCATCACCACAAGCAGCATGACAGCTTCCAGGTCTGTGCCTGGCTTATATCATGCTATAAGAGGCTTGCCTAGCATCACCTAATTCCGTACTGAAGCTGCAGCAAGTAATTTGTTGAAAGCATTTCTTGTGTTATCAGTTAAAAAGGAGATGCTAAAGACATGCATTGGCTTAGCAGAAATCCTATGGAGGATCTATGCTAACTTTTGGTATTTGGGAGGTTGATGATGTAATAAGGAGCCCATGTAGCTATGGGATTTCACTTAGTCTGGCACTGTATCACCTCAGTATGTAAACCTCAAAAAAAAAAGTCACAGTCTGTAGCCACCCTGTTTATGCAGATATTACCTGTCAACAAGGCCTCTGCACTAGAGATTGTGTCAGACATGCATGTGTCTTCTGGAAGTACCCATATAGTGAAAATTCTGTGAAGGTAATGCAGTGAAAGGTGGTTTGGGCTGTTAGTTCTCCAAGCCTTATAAATGTTGGGGCTGTATTTTCTTCCAGTCAACATACGAGAAAAATGAGGCAAGGAAGAGTCCGTTGAGAGGCAGCCCATGTGATACTGTCCTAAAATAGTTCTCTGACCTCTTTTTCTGTCTCCTAAGCCTTGCTAGCTTATTCCTCCTTCCAGTTAGGAGTGTGTATGTGGGATCAAGATCATGTGTGCAGCACATACTCTTTACAGTAAAGGCACTACAGAATTTCTTCCCTGTATTATTGGTGTGTTGTTACCCATGAACTCCAAGTACAGGAAATGGCGAGTGCATCCTATGAGAACGTTGCTGAGACTTTCTGCTGAGTAAACTTAGAGCTGTCCACAACTGCCCATCTGCATTAACTAGCTTAAGAAAGACTTGAACACATCATGCTGGTGCCTGCCGTCAGTTCTGCAAATATCTGATTGCAATGGGAGCATTTAAAAACAAAACGGAAGTCTTAGAAGCAACTTTTTCAACACCAGTCTATTTCACTTCTAGTTGTGTTTTGTCTCTGTTTTACCCAGCTGAAATGTGTGGTTGGTGGTTTGTGGGGGTTTTTTAAGCTTGGTTCCCCCACTTTCCCCCCAAATATATCTAGTGTTGGTTTTATAAACTCTTCATTGCACCTAGATGTGATAACAGTGCCTTTACTCAAAACCTGCTCATTTCTTTGAGTTGTGTTTTTGTTTCTTATCACTTCTCTGCACAAAGAGGTTTAGTAGGATGGTTTGAGGGGTTACTAATCGTTCAGTCAGTGAGCAGGGAGAAGGAAACAGGCACAAAAGGGTGAAAAGTACTTGGAAAAGGGTACAGTAAGGATAAATGGTATTTAAGACGTGAATGTTTCTTTTTGCAGGGATGCTCTTGGACCAACAGCTTCTTTCTAGCGCTACCTCAAAGTAACTTGCAGATATAACTCACAGGGAAGATTGATCAAATGGTGATGATCCCTATCATTCTGCTGGAGAATTATATATATTTGCCTTTTGTTTCGTCTCACTTCTAATAACATTTATTTAAGTTCAGTGACTCATGTCAATAGACATTGTTTGACTACATTGACAGGTATTTCTGAGTCATTAGTGTCATTAAAGGCATGTCACTGTATGGAAATTGTTCTAAATAAGTAAAATGGAAAATAAGCAAATAAAGCAGCACTTGAATTTACAGAGCAAACGTAGTGTAGGTGCCTTTGACAGCTCCCTGGAAGAGAAAATCATGTGTACAGGTTGCTCAATACATTTGGCATGCATCAGGAAGAGGGGGGTCTTGTCTTCAATTTGTCCAGCTCTTACGTATCCAGTGCAGGAATGGTTTTAGTCAATTCCCCACACAGGTACTTTAATAGGAGTCAGCATTACTGCTGATGGACATGTTACCAAAGGGCACAGTTTGTGTCCCTTTGTAAATCTTGGGCTTCCATAATGAAAACATGTCATGATACATCCTTACTTGCCCTTCCCTCAGTTAGAATTTAGCATGATAATTGCTTCCTGGACAGGAAAGAGTTACAACTCCAGGCTAAAATGCTAGGGTTTTTTCTCATATTTTGGTGATGAAATTGATACACTTTTTTAATAGTACATTGTAGAAATGGAGCCTTGTCCTAAAATTGGGCTGCAGGTGTCACACCCCAGCAATTTACATGAGGTGAGGCAGTTCTTGCAGGTGACTTCTACACCCATGTGTTCCATGTCCTGGAGGGGGTTACCTGCCACTGTGAGACATCCCACTTCACACACAACCGTGGTTACGGCAGTAGAGTAGGAGAGGAAGAGACTGTGGAGTTCTGTACTTCATTAGAAGAAATACCTGGAAAGTAATTCCACACTGTGGGAATTTTGGAAGTGTTCATCTTTAGGTAACCATGAGAGCAGGACTAAGAAGTGGAGGAGGAGCAGGTTGTGTAGGAGAGCTGGGAAGATACCAATGAGGTTAAAAAACACTACAAAGCTAAGACAGCAGTACTAGCCCCAGAACAGCATTCCTTCCAGAAGTGGTTCCTTCACTGCTGCTGTCAGCTTGCATTTCTTCAGGCCTTTGGAATCACCTATACTGGTTTGAGTTCCCCCAGACCCCACACTGAGTGTGAGGCACTGGCAGAGGGTGCCCAGAGAAGCTGTGGTTGCCCCATCCCTGGCAGTGTTCATAGGCGGGGCTTTAAGCAACCTGATCTAGTGGCAGCTGTCCCTGCCCATTGCAGGGAGTGTTTAAAATGATCTTTAGGGTCCCTTCTAACCCAAACCATTCCTATACGCTCAATTGTCAGGTGTGTGCTGTGACAAATGCTTTTATTTCTGGTTGAGGGGGTGCACACTACATAACAGCTCGCTCTTTCACTATTAAGCACCTGTCTCACTCTATGCAAGTAATTTCTTGGTACATTCTGTGACTGTTTCTATTACCAACTTCTACACAGGGAAGGTGCTTGTGGTTTTCTGCTCTGCTCCGCTCCATCATTACCAGGATGGACCAACGCTCGTAAGATGCAGAGCCGTAAGATTTTCCTCAACTTTTAGCAGACTAAACCAGACACACAGCACCACTTTTACGTGCTAAACGAAGTCTTCCTCATGTTTTGAGGAGAAAAAAGCTATATTGAAGCCGTTCATCCCCACTTGCTTCCAATCCGCCAGTGAGCGACGACTGACCTGCAGGTTCTCACTTGTATTGCTCACGCAACCCCGCCTGATGGCGGCCCCCTGAGGGAACACCGCTTGTCCCGCTG